CTATACTTTATTTTTTTTAATTTCATGTATTAAAGCAGACTTTGCAGTAGTTTTGATCTGATCATTGAAAGCTGGCTTTGAATTCCCTGCACACTTACATAAATATTATATATAATATATACTTATATAAAAATATATACTTATATATTTTATATATACTTATATAAATGTAAATATATACTTACATATTTATATATACTTAAATATATACTTATATATAATATATATTTATACATTATATATGCTTTTATATATGTGTGTGTGTGTATATATATATTTTTTGAGACAGTCTTGCTGTGTCACCTGGGCTGGAATGCAATGGTGTGATCTTAGCCATTGTATATTGGGGAGATATCTGCACTCCCATGTTCATTGCAGTACTATTCACAATAGCCAAGAAATGGAATCAACCTCAGTGTCCATCAGTGGATGAATGGATAAAGAAAAAGTAGTACATACACACGGTGGAATATTATTCAGCTATAAAAAAGAATGAAATTCGGCCAGGCACAGCAGCTCATGCCTGTAACCCCAGCACTTGGGGAGGCTGAGGCAGGTGGATCAATTGAGGTCAGGAATTCGAGACCAGCCTTGCCAACATGGTGAAACCTTGTCTCTACTAAAATACAACAATTAGCTGGGCGTGGTGGTGCACGCTTATAATCCCAGCTCCCTGGGAGGCTCTGCTTGAACCTGGGAGGTGGAGGTTTCTGTGAGCTGAGATAGTGCCACTTCACCACTGCACTCTATCCTGGGGGACAGAGCCAGACTCTGTCTCAAAAATAAAAATAAAAATAAAAATAGGTCAGACGCGGTGGTTCATGCCTGTAATCCCAGTACTTTGGGAGGCCAAGGCAGGTGGATCACCTGAGATCAGGAGTTTGAGACCAGCCTGGCCAACATGGTGAAATCCCATCTCTATTAAAAATACAAAAAATTAGCTGGGCGTGGTAGCAGGCGCCTGTAATCCCAGCTACTTGGGAGGCTGAAGCAGGAGAATTGCTTGAACCTGGGAGATGGAGGTTGCAGTGAGCAGAGATCACGCCATTGCACTCCAGCCTGGGCTATAGAGCGAAACTCTGTCAAAAAAAAAATAAAAAATAAAAATAAATAAATAGATAAATAAATAAAATAAAAATAATGAAATTCTGTCATTTGCAGCAACATAGATGGAACTGGAGGACATTGTGTTAAGTGAAATAAGCCAGGCACAGAAAGACAAATGTCTCATGTTCTTACTCATATGTGGGAACTAAAAAAGTTGATCTCATGAAGGTGGAGAGTAGAATGATGGTTACCAGAGGCTAGGAAGGAAGGGTAGTGAAGTGAAGGGTAGGGGATGAAGAGATTGGTTAATGTCTACAAAAATATAGTTAGATGGAAGGAATATGTTCTAGCATCCCACAGCACAGTAGGGTGATTCTAGTTAACAGCAGCTTACTGTTATTGAGAGTACGTTAGTGAAGAAGCTTTGCACCAGTCTCCCACCTCTCTAGCGCTTAAGATCTCTGTCCTAGCGTGTACATTGAAGTGGAATATGTTCCCTCTATGTTGATTCTTTGGTTTTGAGAAACTTCAGTTGAGTTCATTAACATGCTTAAGCGTCCAGAATCACTGTGAGTATGATGGGAGTAATTGGATTTTATTCCCGCATGACCATTTCAATTATCTTGCCAAATTTGGAGATCTTTTTCTTTTTTTTCGTTCCCTTTGCGCATTTCTGTCACGTCAGACTGGGCTGCACGTGGCACATCACAGTCATGCGCCTTGACTTCGTTGGGCTCAGGAATCTCTCCTCAGCTCTGAGTGGATGGGATACGAAGGCATGCACCCACGTCTGCGGATAATTGTTTGTTTTTTTGTAGGAGTGGGTTTCGTTATGTGCTCAGGTTTAGTGCGGTGGAGTCCTGGGGCTCAGAGCATCCACACTTGGCCTGCCAGACAGTGGCTGGGATTTATAGACATTGAGGCCTGCACCGCGCCTTTTTTGAATTTTCCTTTTTAGTTGGGCACACTTTGTTTTGTTTTGTTTTTTGTTTTGAGACAGAGTCTTGCTCGCTGTGCACCAGCTGGAGACTATGAGTGTGATCGGCTCACTCCAACTCTGCGTCCCGGTTAAGCACACTACTCCTATCCAGACTCCGGTATCTGGGCATAGGGGCAGGTTGCGCACCGTGCTCCAAGTATTTTTGTATTTTTAGTTAGGAGACCAGGGTTTCAGCCTATTGGCCAGGCCTGGTTCGGACTTCCTTACCTCAATGGTGAGTTCTGCCACCGTTGCCGCCAAAGTGCTAGATTTACGAGGCATGCAGCACCGATACCCGGCCATAGTTGAGATTTTTTTATATCCACCCAGTTATTCTAAGTCCCTCTGAGTGGGTTGTGGCATGGTGTCGCCCCGATACGTAAGAGGAAGAGAGAAGTGTTAAATCGGGTGTCGTCCCGAAGGTCCTGGACGCCTGGATTTTGCTCCGTATCCTTACATTTAGAGGAACACCTAAGACGCAGGGGGTGTTTCTCCTGGAGGTCTTCAGGACACGCATTGGATGGTTGGGACCGAGGGTTGATTTAGGTGAACTCGAAGCGGGTAACCCAGGATTAGTATCATGCACCTGCTTCTCAGGGCCACTGGTCACCGCACCACCAGCATTAGGAAGTCTGCCAGAGGCCTTTGGCTGTCCCTACTGCAACAAGTGACGCCCCTCATTCTGGTCGCAGGTACGTTTCTTTTTTATTTTTTTTCTTTTTTTTTGGTTTGTGATTTGTTTGTTTTTTGAGACGGGGTGTTTGCTCTGTCACCCAGGCTTGGGAGTGCAGTGGCCGGATCTCAGCTCACTGCAGGCTCGCTCAGGTTACGCCATTTCTGCGCCTAGCCCTCCTGAGTAGGTGGACTCGCAGGGCGCCGCCCACTTCGCCCTGGCTTAGGTTTTTGTAGTTTCTTTAGGTAGAGACGGGGTTCCCACGTGTTAGCCAGGATGGGTCTCGATCGTCCGTGACCTTGTGGAATGCCGCCCGTTCGCGGAGCCTCCAAAGTGCTGGGGATTACAGGCTTGAGCAGGCGGCGCCTCGGGCCTGGGTCCAGCTTTTGAAGCTCTTATTGATAGCTGCAGTCCAGGGATCGCAAGTCACCGCCCGTCTCCTAGGGAATGGATTCACAATGGTAACAGACCGGAAGCGTCTTCTTCGTGCTCCAGATGCTCGATAGAGCAATGGAGTTGTGGTGTGGGCATGACTTGGAGACTAGTAGGCGCAAGCCCTTTTCATAGAATGCTGGCCTGTTGCCAAGACACTGCTGCAATGGAAGAATGGTAAGTCACTAGTGGTGGTACTTATTCAGACATATGAGGGCCGCCAGCCACATCGATGCGTTAGAACACCAGGAGAGGAGGAGCGAAGAAGGGAACTGAAAAATAAGGAAATAGAAACGAGGATCGTTGGATAGTCGCAAGCTATACACGGAGTGTGTTCTCTAAGTGATAAGTCATGTTGAACTTGAGAATATGTTTCAGGCGGCGGCTTAATATGTTTCATTTGCCGATTGACAGTAGGAAAATGGGGGCGCGCGACCGCAATCTTTTATGGAGTTAGGTTAACCGTTAAGAGTGTTCATTCCTAGTTTGGTTAGGTGGAAGGTTCTTTCGCTGGATGGAACCCTTTCCTTGATTCCTTGGCCAAGGAGATGACCGATCTCTCCTATTTGGCACGCCTGTTCTAAGTGTCCTGATAAACTTCGGTATGGACTAGGCTTACGCTAGTCGGTTTCCTGTGGATTGCTACAATTGCGAAGTCCGCTCCAGGGAAAGGTTCGCTGGGCGTTTGGTATGTGGATCGTTGGTTATCCCTTTAGCACCTTGTGCCTGGACTATAGTAGGAACTCAGTAAGATGGCGTGATGGAATAGAAGGATTTTTTTCTTTCTCACAAATAGACACACGAGTTCTCCGTTTTTCTTTCTTTGTCTGTTTGAAGTAAGAGTCTCGCTGTGTTGCGGGCTGGGAGCTGCGCGGTGGCATGATCTGCGGCTCACTGCCAGACCGTCGCCTCCCGGGTTCAAGTGATTCCTGCCAGCTCACATAGTAGGCTGGATACTACAGGTGGCACCACATGCGCGCAGCTAATTTTCTTGTATATTTTTATAGAGACAGGGTTGTCCATGTTTGCCAGGTGGGATCAATCTCCATTGACTTGTGACGCCCGTCTGCAGGTGCCTCCAAAGTGTTGGGATTACAGGCCATGAGACCACCACACCCGCTTAGGTTTTTTAGTAATAGGAATGTCTT